GGGAACAGCAAGCATCTTGAGGAAACTCTCAGCAACAGTAGCATACAGGATGTATTTCTTGTCTGATAACAGGAAAGGGAGAGAGCTGCCATCGGGTCAACCACAGAGCTGCTTCAGGGCCGCTCTGTGTGCTTTGGGGCCCAAACCCAAATGCACCGTGATGGGAGAAGGCAGCAGGCAGGTGCCTGACATGCCCTGTGGAATGTCCACCCGGGGTCACCCTGCTTGGAACTCTGGGTTGCTCTAGGTATGCACCCCCAGAGAGTGACCCCCTCTGAAAACACTTGTTTCCTTCCCTCCTCGGCCAGTAACTGTTATGGGATGCAACAGCCCTGCCACTGCAAGGATGGGAGGAGGGAGAGGCCACGAAGCAGGGTAGCTGCCAATAACCAAAAGCACCCAACAGACGGGACTGCTGGTATCTGTCCTTCTCTCCCCACCTTCACGTGAAACGCTCTCGGGAAGGAGACGGAGCAGCACAGCTTAGACACGACTGGGTGGCACGGCAACTGCAGTCCCCGCTCACGGAATGAAACCACCCTGCACTGAGCACACACCCGAAGCAAGAGTAGCAGCAGGACAACTCCCTGCACTCCCATCACTCCCTGCCCCCCAGCAGCAGCCGCAGGAGCTGGGCTTCTGTGCACAGCCCCTGAGCTGGTGTGGAAGTACGGGGGTACCCCTCCGTGCCTTCCCGCCTGCCAGGGTACCCCGACGCACGCCCGCCGAGCCGGAGCAGCAGGAGGGGCACCCCGCGCACAGGCGGGGATCAGAGGGGCACCCAGAGCAGACAGCGAGCTGGGGGGCGCACACACGTCACCCCCGTGCACGGCACCCCGTCTCCAACCCCCGCCGGGGCGACAAGAGGGGTAACCCAAGCTCACACACCCGAGCCCGGCGCTGGACTGGATCAGCCGCGGGATACGGCACCACCCTCCCGGGCAAACCCCTCTCCGCTCTGCGCACCGGCCGCCGCCGGCCTCAGTCCCGCGGGGAGCGGCACCGCACCGGCAAGGCACAAAACTGCGGCGGCCGGAGGGCAACAGGCGAGCGGGCGGCGCCGGGCGGCAACTTCGCACAGCACCGGCGAGGAAGTTGCGCTGCCGCGCAAGACGCCCCCGCCTCCGCACCTCGCCCGCGCTACGGACTGCGTACCCGCGCCTCGGTGTGAGTGCGAGTGTATCGAGGGGGTGCGTGTGCGAGAGAGCGACGGAGCGAGCGAGGAGCGAGCGGCACCTGCCGAAGCCGGGCGCGGGTGCGGAGCAGAGCGCAGGGCGCGGCGGGAGACGCTCGGGGCGGGCCGGGTCCGGGTTGGGTCCGCGCCCGCCGCCGCCGCTGCTGCGCCCTCCCGGTGCGAGTCCGCCCGGCTGCGGATCACGTGGCGGTTGCCGGAGGCAGAGACTAGAGAGGAGAGGAAAAAAAAAGCGCCTCATTCCTTCTTCCACCGCCATACTGTATTTTATAGTAACTCTCATTTTTATTCCTCCCTTTTACTCCCGCTCGGTGAGTACCTTTCCGCTGACATTCTTGTCCTCCTTTTTTTGTCCTGATTTTTTTTTCTTCCTTTTATTTTTTCCTTTTTTTTTTCTTTTTTTTTTTTCTCTTCCTCTTTGATTATTGTTTAAATGGATTTGATCTTTTGCTGATGACAAGTTTTTTTTTTTTTGGGTTTTTTTTTTTTTCTTCCTAGCATGCGATGGTTACTAAACTGTGAGCAAAAGGTGCTGCTGGGGCCGGGAGTCACTGGGATTGAAAAATGATGATAATAATAATAATACAGACTTGCCAGTCCAGCAACAACTGATATACATTTAGTAGCTATATATCTATATATGCAACGGGTTTTGTTGTGGCACTGAAAAGCGATGTAAAATATGATGCTTATTTTTTAAAGATAAGAGGAAAGGCATGTTTCTAACTCTTTTTGCAGAGTATTTTCTCTGGTACCGTTTTATTTTTATTTTTGGGTGATTTTTAAGGGTTTTTTTTTCATAAAGAGATGGGAATTGCAAGTACATTTTACAGCAGTGTTTACACAGAGTTTGTAATCTTGCAATACTGGTGGAAGCCACACAGCAAGATATTAATTTTAGTATTTTTGTTATTGTTTCTTTTTTATTGACAGTGCAATCAGCAGGGTGGTGTTTTTCTTTTTTTCCTTCTTCAGTTTTTGATGCCTGTTTATAACGTGAAACTTTTCTTTCAGTGCGTTAGTTATAATTTTTAAATACTTTTTTTTTCCTCCTTAAAGATAACAAAGCAAAACAGCCAAAGAGATGATCCTTACTTTTGTACATTTTGAACCTTGACTTTTTTATTCTTTTGCCGGCAGTATTTTATGATGGTTATTATTATCATGATGATGATAGATATATACATATATACAAATAAATACATTTTCAAATGATGGCAGTGGAAGGTTTTCCTGGAGAATGAAGTGCGGTTTGGTTTCCTTGTCAACAGAAGATGAAATGAACAACTGAACATCTCCCCAGTGCAGGTACTTCATCTCCTTGTAGGCGTTACCACGCTGTGTAAATTACATTGTGGGATTTTTATTTTTTTATTTTTTTAAGAAATCTCTTTCCATCCCTAAGTAAAGGTTTCTGTGCAATACACATGAGGACTGAACTAAATATCTCTTCCTTGTGATTGCGTGGATGTGTGTGTAAGATGTTGCACTAATTGAGCCTAGGTCAGTTAAGCTTGAAGAGAGGAGTTTTATGTGCTGTACTGTTCTGTGCTGTAGAGACGGGAAGGGGGGGCCGAGGGGGGAATCCAGAAACTCCCCTTTTCCTTTTGAAAAAAGACAAACAAAAACCAACCAACCAATCAAAAAAAAAACAAACACAAAAAGACCCACAACAAACCCAAAACGAAACCACAAACAGAAACTGGTTGAAGCCTTAAGATCCTCGGAAGGAGTACAGTGGAATACTTACAGGACTTCAGACAAAAACAAACCCCCGGCCCTGTATTATGGTGACTCGTGTGCGTCTGTTTAAAAATTATCCATTAGAAAATATCTGTGACAGAGGCAGCAAAGGAGTCTCCCTCAGAGAGCTGGCTCACTGCCACATGAGGCATATTTCTTAGCCCTAAGGGCAGCAAACCCCTTATATCCAACTTCTGCTTCTCATATTAAAAAGGCGTAAACAAGGCAGCAGGTTGCCTCTTACGAATTTAATTCATTGGGATTGTGATTAATCAGAAGGATATATTTGCTTGAAGGTGTTTCATTTTGTTGTGATTATTATTAATGCTGCTGGCGACAGTGAATTTTACTTTCGGTGACAGTCACTGAGAGTTCAGGATTGGAGAAGAAACTGTTACTTTTCATTGAGAGCACTTAAATGCTTAAGAGAGGCTGCCTCTGATGTAGAGATAGGGTAATAGGTTCTCTACAATACAATTTGGGAAGATTTTTCCAGATGATGGGGGGTTTTGGTGATTTTTTTTTTTGATTTTTTTTTTTGTGTATTTTTCCACAGGAAGTGATATAGTGCAATATTATGCTAAATTTGAAGTGCTGAATGCTTTGATCTGCAGTGTTCTCTATTGTTCACTTCATTATGGTGGGATTGCTTAACGTGTTTTGTATAAAAAGCTTTTAGGGACCTATAACTATAAAGATAGGCTGTGTATTCACATAGGGAAACTAAGTTGCAGATGATACTTTTTTTTCTCGCTGTGGTATAAGCAAAAATAGTTCTTAGGACTACAAATGGTTCTGAAGTTTGAGGCTTCTAACACATTCTGTAACTTAACAGCTTCCTTTGAAGCAGTGTATGTAGCAAGTCTTCAGCATCCTCTGGTGCAGTTAGTCTTGGAAAATAATGAAATTCATTTGTCTTTGTAGAAACATATCTGTTAGATATTTACAGTGGCCTTTTTCAGCTTAAATATAATAAAAAATATGTAGCACACATTTATGCATGGCTTCTGCTCTGACTTGGTGGAATACTTTTGGCAGTATATTGGGGTCAGTAATCCATGTGTCTAAAAACCACTGTCTGGGTATTTGCCTGATAGATTATGATGACTTCTCCAAAATGATTATGATTTTTTAGATCAATAATAATCGTTTTAAGAAGACTCAGCCTGCTTATTTTTTCATGATTTAATTTGAAAGCCAGCCATTGAGTGATTGAAACTTTATCCTCCATCCCTTTTTATTTTTCTCCCTCCTTATTTTAAATTTTTTTCTTTAAATTATGTGGAACTACCAGTAAGCAACATTTTTTTGATTTTGCTGAAGCAGTCAAATAAAGCAACTAGGCTAGCAGTTTCCAGAATGGTGTTCCTTTCGTCCTTTCTTTTAATATTGCAGGTGTGTTGTGTGAGTAAATTTGTACAGATAGATGCTGACTGAAGATCTAATCCTGTTCACTTAGTCTTACCTTGAAGTCTAAGACCATTGCTGAAATTTTCTATGGTCAGCACCCAGATTTCATCTACAAAGCACCTGTTGTCTGAGTTGCATGGTAATTAATAGACATACATTTCATTTGCTGCAGTCTGAGGTTGCATGATATATCAAATAACAGACTTTAAAACAGGAATAGAGGAGCCAAGTTCAAAAGAGGATAATTCTACCTCCTGCAGTATGTGGGCACAGTAGGATTTGGGGTGGTGGAATTGGTTCCAGCTTGGTGTTTCCATAGTTATGCTATGACTAATGCTGTTGAAAGCATGTTTAGAAAGCTATAGTTAGTGTAAGAGACAATTGTCCTTTTGTACTTTTGAGATGAATAAAAAATTTGTCTAAGAATTGAAGCTTTGTTTTTACAAGTCATAATTACTTATCTTAATTTAGTATGAGATGTACTGCCCTAACTCCTGAAAGTGATGTGTGTCCAGGCTTAAATGACATCTTCTCTTTTTCTTTACATCTGTTTTGATATTCAGGACAGCTTAAGTATTTAAGGTACCTTTAATAAAGATTTGTAAACTTAAAGCTTTGGAAAGTTGTTTTGTTGTTTTGTTGTTTTTTTTTTTTTTTTAATTTTACTTCTTCCATGACTGTTTGACTATTATTAGCAGCACTTACTAGCAAATAAAAACTAACAGGTGAACAGAAGTTACTGTGTAGTGTCCAGAGCACTGATTCATAAATACATGGTTTTAGCCACTGTAGTGGCCTGAATTGGCAATAGAAGCATTATCTTCTCACATGTTTCTACATAGGAGGTAGGACTAGAGAGGCCTGTGGAGTCATCAGCTCTGTTTTACTGTGATGTTAGGCAAAGGTCTTACTTTGTTCAGACTCAGCAAGCTCCAGTTTAAATTTAGCTGGGGCATCACTCCCACTGCACCTTTTCAAAGGATGGGCAGAGCCTCACTCTCTAGGCTGTTAGAAAGCTCATTCCTGTCCAAAATTTATTCTCAGACAGTTTATGCTCCTTTATTTTTGTGCCAGTGCTGTCCTGAAATAGTAAGGTTCCTTCTCCACATCTCAGCTTCTTTTCAGAGTATATTTCTAAAGAGCAGCCACAGCCCCTTTTCACTCACGTTTGCTGGGCATACTGGGGAGAGGTTGCTGGTAGTGTGGCCAGCGCTGGGGAGGGATGCTGAGACTGACTGACTGAAGTCATGCTGCAGCAGAAGCAGGGCAGCTGCATTCCAGTCCATTGCCCAAGCTGGTCTGTTCTGCTTTTGGCTGCAAGCATGGCCGTCCAGTCTCTGGCTTTTACATCAGCCTGAATGTTTCCACCTGCAGCTGCACTTGTGGACATGCCTTCTTCTGATGAAACGGGCTTTATGCTATGAGGACCTTCCCTTTGCTCTGCCTAACCAGTCTAAATTTCTCTGGCTAGAATGTAACAGCAAAGGACCCCCAGGAATTTCTCCTGACACACTCTGACTCCAAAGAATCTTCTGCTTACTGTTTTAGTATTTTGTATTCATACCATCTAGCGGAACCCGCATGGGCTTGAGCCAATGCTGTATCAGGGGGTGTCTTCTATTGGGAATAAATGTGAAAGTTGATTACAGTGCTTTTAAAAATATATTTTCTGTATTAATTTCTTCCCAGGTTGCTTATATCTTTGTTTTCTAGTCTTCTAAAGCATTATTCTAAAGCAGATTATTTTTTAGAATGTTTTGTTTTGGTTTTGTTGGTTTTTGGTGGTGTGTTTTTTTTTTGTTTGGTTTGGTTTGTTTTTTTTTTCTGTTTGCATCATTCCCTGCATTGTGGGTTTCAAAGATAAAAAGATAAAAAAGCTTAATAGTGTTTGAAGTGTAGAATGGTAAAGACTGATAGGCTGCCCTCAGATTAATGTTTTTAACTTCCCTTGGTGTTCTTACAGGAAGCAATGCACTGTCAAATTCTGGAGCTGAATCCTTCATGTTTAAGTACTTACAGAATTTCTGAACAGCAGGCTAAAGATTACTGTTTCCGGATGAAAATTATTAAATATGTGACACTGTCCTGATAGTCATCCAGTTTGTAGCTTCCTTAAACTCAGTTCCAGACTGACAGAAGAAAACAAAATGCTACTTTTAAATGGATTGAAAGTTACAGTATAACATTTTCACCTTTGTTAATTTACCAATATTATTTTATGATCTTTGAACAATTACCAGAGTAAAATGTCTTGAAGATTATTGTTTTGCATATATACATTAGAATAATTTGTAACTTTTGTTTTTGTCATTATTCTTTGCTATTTCAGAATGATACTTTAATCTCTATAATGTATTTAATCCTTCAAAAGCATTTATACTCTGGTTTTGGAAGTATTCTCTGAGGAAGTTTATTTTTGCACAATGAAGTGTGATTTTTTTCAATCATCGATCAACAATTAAACCAAGCAATCAAGTAGGTATTCAAATTGCTAAGTAGATCTCAGGTTGCATAGTGTGAATACAATTAATTTATTTTTATCATTGTGGTACTCTGGGATAAAAAGGCGAATAGATAGAATCGTATAGATATTTTTAGCTATATTTTAAGCATGATGGAGAATTAACAGAAATCTTAGATTATTTAATTATCCTTTAGGGCTTAACCAGTGCTTTTGTTTAAGAACAAATAGTTTAACTTTCTCTGTTCAGTAAATTTATACACACTGACATTATCTACTACTGCTTGACAGAAGTTGCAGGATTAAATTGCCTCTGTGGTACTCCTTCATGTGCCTCCCCAGCATCCAGTCCAGGCTCCTTGTGTGCCAGCTGTCCTGCCAGAATGTCAGGGCTCAACCATTCTGCAGTTGCATTTCAGTCTTGGGAACAAAGCTTTTTGCTCTGGTGTAATTTCTTCGTGGTTATGGTGATAAATATAATAATTTCTACTCTGACCTGGCTGGTAGAGGTTTGAAGAAGAAGAGATGGGGTTCATGTGAGTGATGACCAACAATCGGTATGAAGATGGAGGAATATGAATGACAGTCCTCAGGCTCTTTATTTTTCCCTTGCACACTCCTGAGTTTTTCTCCTAAGTGCCCAAAGCTCTGATTAAATTTGGATTACCCTGATGGCCCTTCCCAGGTGGTCTTC